TCAAAAAGATTTTTGTCAAATCAAAGTGAACAGTTTTTGTCGGTTCATTGATGTAAATGTAGATTCCAAGTTATTTGTGAATTGGCTTATCTTAAAAAAAAGTAAACCGCTACAGTTATGTTTACTTGTAAAAACACATACACTATTAACACAAAAAAATGCTTTTAAATTAGTAAGATCTAATTAGAAGCTGCGAGGATTATGGTTAAGGTAGCTGGGGTTTCTTTCCCCATCTTGGATTTCAAAATAGCAAATAACAATGGGTCTAGATATTGTTGCTATAAACACGTGCAAAACTTTACATAATAATACCAAACCACATACATAAATGCATTATTACGAAAAAAAATCACATACCTAATTATACATGTTATATGAGGATTTAAAAAGTAAAAATTCAAATATATATGTTCAAACTCTTTCAGGTAATTATTTAGTAACATCAAACAAAAGAACTATAATGTCAATTGGATCTGCTTTGATATGATAACTGCACTTGAATTTTACAAGATAACATGTTTGTATGCTTTAATGATTCCGTATATCACCAAGTTATCAGAATTCCAATGTAGAATAACTGTGCACCATTCAATGCGAACCTGTTTCTGTTGTTACGAATTACATGCGAGACTGAAATCAGCAACAATCCATCGAAACAACATCTGATACACACATTTAATAACACTTTTAGATAGTAGTGTGATATATTGGCTCTCAATAATGACGACTTCAGTATGTACACTAAAGATATTGATCCTATTTAACTGACTTTAAATAACGCTAATACTAATAATGAACACTGCCCTTTCCAAGATCATAATATCTTCAACGGGAAGCTAAGTACTAAAACTTACGATAAAGGACACAATTTTTCATTTCCTATTGTTGATTATTCATCTTTGGATGGTGACATTCCCTTGACATCATCTTATGGTGTTTATATATCTCAATTTGTTCAATTCGCTCGTTTATGTAACAACGTACTTGATTTTAACAAAAGAAATCTCTGTATTACTGAAACATTGTTACACCAGGGTTTTCGATATCACAAACTTGTCAAAACTCCACTAAGTTTACATCGGTACAAGGACACCATTCATAAATATTATTCAACGTGCAGACATCTTGTACGTTCGCGTATTTCACATCACATCGTTTATGGTAATATTGTATACAAAGCACACAAATGTCGTCATTCACCTTAAAAGCCTACCAAACCTTTATACATATTTATTCAGAAAGGATATAGTTACGATATTAAATATAGCATTTTTGGAATTAATATTGATTCACTTATAGGGTCTTTGCATCGGAAATAAACACATTTATTTTAGTACTAGTTTTGATCACTTTAATTGAGGTCTGGAACTGGCTTAGCAGTAACTGCTAGTAGTCCTTTGTTAATTTATGCTGATTATTGTCATTTTGCTTAGTTTGTTCTGTTATCTATTCTGATATCGGACTCGGAGTTATGTTAGAATGAGTTTTACCCTGGATATTAGTGTGTGTTGGTTTATTACACATTGGCTAAATGTATAGGGAGAGGATTGATATCTCACAAACATGTTTTACCACGCTGCATTTTTGCGCCTGTCCCAAGTCAGAAACCTCTGACTTTTGTTAGTTTGTCTTGTGGTTTTTGTTTTAATTTTGGTTCATTTATATTTTTTCGAAGTTTATTGTGGCGTCCATTTTGCTGAACTAATTATTGTTAGGGGGGCAGCTGAAACCCGCCTTCGGATGCAGGATTTTTTTCTCTGCGTTGAAGACCCAATGGTGGCCTGTGGTTATTAACTGCTATTTGGTCAGATTGTTGTTTCTTTGACACATTCCCCATTTCCATTATCAATTATATCAATACCGAAGATTGTATAATATCAGGTTACTCGGGTGTACACTAACACAACACTGGTGTAGAACAGTCTATAACATATCATTCTGACAGTTAGTAAGAGAAGTAGACATTATCCTAACCGTAAGAGATCCGAATTAACATCTTGACGGACTCCCCCTATCACTATGGATGTTATGTTTTAGAAAGAGATTGTAACACAATTTAGCGTATTTACCTGAGGATATCGGTATATGGGTATTTAGTCAAATCTTAACAAGAAGTTGTGATAATATTAAAAAGCCAACACGGATAAAAAAAGATAAACAATGTCAAAATGTTCAGGCTTTAATTAAATCTTTTTTTGGGTAAGTTGATGACAGCATACGATCTGTATTGTGTCCTATACTGTTAGAGGCTTATAATGTTTAACAACAATATTATATTAATGTGTAAATACGTTAATTATGAGCTATGAAAGTTATTTAGTTCGTGCATTTTGACGAGCAGGTTTAAAAAAATTTCAAACAAATATACTTTACTGTGGGTTAGCATTCATTAGCTGTCTCTATCCTATGGATTAACAACTGTTGGTTATATTGATAATTTAGAATGTTCATTGAAGTTGGAGCACGAATGTTGTGTTAATTAATTCGTTTGATGTTTCATTTGTATGCATGAGTGACATCCCTTTGTACTATGTTTCAATTCCAAAAAGTCTATCGAATAGTAATTTTATTCAATTTTAAATCATTACAAAAGTTATAAATTTAATAGATCTTAGTAGTTATCATTGGTTTATTAAAGACATTTATGTATATCTATAATTTCATTTATTTGTTTTGAAACGTTTAAAATTATCATTAACACATATAAAGAACCTTTCATAATTTTATAAATATTATCTAGTTACCTATAAAGTTAATAACTGACCATGCAAGATCCTCATGGGTAGTCAACGTCGTTAAAATCCACCCTCATTATTAAGTTACTTAGTGTGATGAGGCACTGTACTGTAAGAGTAGAGATAGTACATCTACCTCAAATTAATCTTGGAATCATTTACTTGTACAGCCTTATTATAGTAAATAAAATAAAAATATTCTGTCAACTTTTAATTAGAGGTAAAATATTCAGGTGAATAACACATGTTTCATTCTGCTGTCAAGAATACAGTGTTTTAAGTTGTTGTCCGCATCATTTAATCTTCAACAGCATTGATCCTTCTACTTGTAAAAGCATTTATTGTTTTAATACGTTGTATATAATTATGTCAGAATTCAAACGTAGTAGACATATTGCCTTAATTTATCTGCATTACTTGATTCCCTAAAGACCAATACATGTATGAAGTGTAACACCCCCTAACACAAACACACACAAGATACACATACCCTCAAAAACAAAAACAGAATATCATAACCACCACTTTATTCCAGAAACTTTACACTTATGTGAAATGCTTTAGTGAGAAATTATGATTGGAACCTACATAAAACATTTGAAATATTTTGAAAAAGACTCTAAATTAAAACATGTAAAACCGAATTATATTATCTCCCCATAATAATTAAATGTTGGGAAAATTAACCAGAGTTATCTGACATTAATCACAGAGAGGGACTAGCAAACAATATTAAATCAGAGATTAATTAACATTAAACAATTGTCCACTAAAAAGCAATGTTACTTTATTCAAATACAAGGACTTAGTTAACCCAAATCTACTAATTTTATTTGATATTATGAATTTTTATGACAATAGATAAACATGCTACACAATTGCTTTTCATCGAAAAGACACCCCTTCCCTACAAAAAGAAAGTTAAATGATCCGGTCGTCTATAATCTCAAATACAATCTATACCCATTAAAGTGATATACTTACAAAGTAATAAAGTATGTAAGTCTGAATAAGTTCCATGGAAACAAAACATAATCATTTAAAGCATTTATATTTATCGGTATTTATCCCTCCCATGTAATACTTCTTATTTGGTTAATACTGGTAAATACTGGTCTATTAAATTTCCCTTTTTTTTACACGATTCAGTTAATAAACAAATATTAGTACTATTAGATTTTAAGTTTCTTATTATGATTTGTTATTTATAAATCGTCCCCAGGGGTATTGCTATTGCGTATTTTAGATATACATGTATCTTTTTATTATTCAACAGATATAAATCAATATATATTTTCTTGAAAAGTATCTATAACAAAGGTTATTAGAATTTCATTAAACTGTTATTTTAAAACTAAAAAGCCTAACTAATGGCTATCCGTTTTTGAAAATAAAACTTATAAACCATAGCCCTTAGTGAACGTCGACACGACAGGGAAATAGTAATAAAACTGATAGTTGATGACTTTTCAAACACAACTTTTTTTTGTTCTCAAGATAATAGATGAAAAGTCACAAAAGTGAAGAAAAAAAACAAAGACTCACAGGACAGAAAGTCAAACCGTCACATTGAAATCGAATATAACTCTTGACTCAATGAAGTCTTTTTAAATGTTTTTTATCATCATTAATTTTTTTGTAATAATTTGTTGTTATTTAACATAGTAATTCATAGATTATGTTCATTGAAAATTTCAAAGTCACTAGAAACATGACAATGCGAACAAGGTGGAAATTATACACATCGTCAGAAGAAGCAAACGGAACATTACCGTTCAAAAAAGGGGATTAGCACAAGTGAACAATTATTTGAGTCTTTTGTCTGAAACTTTTGTTCAGGGTTTTAACTTATGAATTATAAATCAAAATCAAACAAAAGACAATCATTGATGTTTATATATATTTTTTAAAAGTTATCCTATGGGGAAAATTTGTGCAGTATGAATAGAAAAAAACAATTTCATATCTAAATACGGTTTTTCATTAATTAAATGGACGTTAGAAGGAATCTTAATTTAGTTCACCCATATGAATTCATATCAGTACAGAATTCGAAACAGGTCTGATATTGAAAGTGCTCAATTATTGCCGATATCAGGACCTTCAATCTTCGAAAAACTAATTTGCCTTAACTAACATAGATGTTGTCAGGGAGAACATTTAAATTTGATAATAAACATTTCACTTAAAAATAAACAAAACATAGTAATTAGGCTTATGGAGGATCTAACAATTTTTAAAACTACATATCTGCAGAATACCAACCTCAGTGCTTCTAGTTGCCCATGGAAAACATACAGTTGCAGATTCGTGTGACGCCCTGTGGTGATGACAGAAAAAATCATTATGCTCTTTCAACGTTTCAAAGGACTTTGCATCGGCATGACAAGGACAATCGCTGCATTTGAACTGTTGTTCATAAGTAACCGCAATTCTATATCTTTTCTTTATGTCTATTATTTTTTTCCTTAAATCTCTGCGAACACTAGTACACTCTTCTACGAGATCTTTTGTGTGGTTGGCAAACGACACAATTTGAAGGGCTATTGTATCAATCGACATCGTCATCAAAAGTTTCACACAATCTGATTTGTTTAGATCAAAACCACAAAAACCTCTATATAACGCAAACGCGTTGGTAGATTTCACTTCAGTGGGAGAGTACTTGCTCATCAACCAAACCGATAAATGGTTAAAGAAGGACGGTGGGAGAAATTTAAATTTCATACAAAACCAGGAAGTTCTTTGACAATTATCTTTAACTATACCAATACTCTTGCAAACAGTTTCAAACGAAGAAGACGGAAACATACTTGGCATTAAATATGCATGTTTGCCCTTAATTTCCAACAGTATGTCAAACTTCTCCATGACTTCAAGCAAATGCTTCTTTTGTTTCAAAAAGGAAACTCCACCTTTTAACTTGAAGAGTGTATTGATCAATAGATCACTGATTTCCCCTTTTGTCTTTAAATTCACCCAGTCGAAGCTGATTTGAGCTTTATCCATAACACTAACATCTTGAACCTTATCAATATCAAATCTATCTGACACTAAACATCGGAAAGCATTTGCCAACCACTGAGGTTCTAGAATTATTAGATCTGGTATATCTTTAAAGAAAACAATCTTACCGACTTCATTTTGAAAATGAAGGAATGTTAAAACTTCCTTATTATCATATATTGCAATTTCGGGAAGTTTTGCTATCTTGATTATGTCATCATGAGTTATAAAATTCACCCCACGTTTTTTATTCTCATTAATCACACGTTCTAAAAGGATCCATTTTAAAGGCACTGATTCACCCCAAAGCTGCATCTTTTGTGCAAGTTCTGATATTTTATCTCGTAACTGTTCAAAAATTGCATCGGGATCTTCAGTATTCGAAACATAAAATTTGTGTCGATAGTGCTGATACTTCTCCTGCGTTCCGAATAGTTGTGTTAACTTGTCACCAAGATATATTTGTCTTTCCTGCATTTCTTTGTAACTTTTCTAAAATACATATATTATTAAAATCATCTTTGAATTTGTCTTGGAAACAAAAAGTCAAGTAAGTTGAACAAAACCATCTGAAAAACAGTATTCTAGTCTTAACCCTTGTCATTTAAGAGATTTCTTCTTTAAGTTAAATAAAACCGTGCATGTAACCTTTTACTGTCCGTATTAACCAACTTGTGTTAGTGATAGACATTGTATTTAAATCAAGAATAATTCATTTGAACATAGTTTGACAACACAAACAAAGACTTGTAAAATCCACAATGAAGTGCGTTATAGAAAAAAGGAACTATTACCAAAGACACATCGATAAATTAACTAGGTTTTCTCGTTTGAACTATTTCAGGCTTTGTCATTTCGGAGCCTTTTCATTGTTGAAGGGCGTTCTGTGACATAAAGTTGCTAACATCTATGGCATGTGTTCTCTGTTAAATATTAAACTCATTGGCAATCATACAATATCTTCTTGTTTTAATATTTAATTAAAGACTTATCAAGTTTAGTGTATGCGAAACACGCATCTGGCATATCAATTTATAAGCTTTGTGTCTTTGGTGTTTTTTTTTCTCTCTAGCATTGAAGTCTATTATTTCGAACTAAGTTACAAGAGTTAATCGACCGTTTTCTACATAAGAAAATGCCTGTACCAAGTCAGGAATATGACAGTTGTTTTCCATTCGTTTTGTGTGTTTACGCTTTTGATTTTACCATTAATTTTGATAAAGGACTTTCCGTTTTAAAATTTCTTGGTGTACTTTTGTTATATAACTTTTTGTATAACAAATTAAAGTTTTATGTGAATGTTTGAGTATATATATATATATATATATATAGAGAGAGAGAGGGATAGATATAAGTCAACGATCTTTATTACGAGGGCGCTTGGAGATTGACCCCAACCTGCTTATGTGTATATCCTGAGACATATAATACAATGTTGTATTATATGTCCCTAGTATATCATATACATACATTGTCGGAAAATAACAAATTTATTTGTTTTAGTTTTATAAAACGGGACGAAAAGGAAGGCTCGCCGAGATTTTCTCCTGTGCTGACCGTAGCAAGTACAAATAAATCATATATTTCCGCAATGAACAAATATTGTTTTTATCCTGCAATTTACACCTGGCGCTTTAGTTTAGTTGTTTAAATCCAAGAAGTTGTCTCTGATTTGTTAACATTTCACCACGAAGTGTACCCGCATATAAAAAATAATTTGTTAGAACGCCTAAAAAGTGTACAAAACAACACCAATATTTAAAAAAGGAAACACTAAATGTAAGTATCTATGGATATTTTGGATAACAGATATCCTTCATCAGTATGATTATGATGTAAAATGAATCATATCAATCTATTCTGATTTAACTATATCAATCTTTAAATTTATAGAATTGAAACCGAACAAGGTTTGTACAATTCTAATATTTCAGAAATGACGAAGATTAGGTATTTACAACAGCGAATGAATAGATATAAATATAAATATAACAATAATATAGTTTGATAATTACTAGATTGAAAAATAATTGCACAAACGACAAACAATACTGTTAGAAATCAACGTATGAATGTAATTGGCACTAACTCCTCATAGAAAGTCTAAAAATTCTTGAACAGCCAGTATCCATTTGACTTTGATTGAAAATGTGTTTTTACTATACTTCTGATAATTTGCTTTCACGTTAACTTTTGAAAGTACAGTAATTTAGAATGTTATCCTTCTTCTGGAGCACCTGAGGTCACCCTCCTTTTTTGGTGGGATTCGTGTAGTTCAGTCGTCAGTTTTCTTTGTTGTGTTTTATTAACTGACTTTTATTTGTCGTTTTTCGTTTGTTCCCATGGCATTTTCAGTTCGTTTTGAGTTCAACTTATGACTTTGATTATCCATATAGTAACATTGGAAACTCATTTGTCAGATGAAAAAAATATTGCGATACAGAATAAATTCTTGCCTTTTCATACTGATCTTTTCCAGTAAAAACTACTATAACCGGAGGGTCAATTGATGGTTCACCTTCTTGTCGGTCGTCTGTTTGATAACAATGTATATTATCAAACCAAAAATCAACGTAATCTGAGAAAAATAAAAATATGAATTAAAAGTCATCCATCTAAAGGATAAAAGGGGTCATTAACATCATCAAGATTCTTTAACATTTAAGTCAAAATCTGATCTCATAGTTTAAGCAAAAATACGTTTCAAATTTGACGTGTTCCGTTTTTTTTTTGTAAGGCATTGTCAGTTCGTTTTCTACTTATAATAGATATAAGAAGATGTGGTATGAGTGCCAATGAGACAACTCTCCATCCAAGTCAAAATTTATAAAAGTAAACCATTATAGGTCACAGTACGGTCTTCAACACGGACCCTTGGCTCACACCGAACAGTAAGCTATAAAGGGCCCCAAAAAATTACTAGTGTTAAACCATTTAAACGGGAAAACCAACGGTCTAATCTATATAAAAAACGAGAAACGAGAAACACTTATGAACCACATCAACAAACGACAACTACTGAACATCAGATTCCTGACTTAGGACAGGTGCAAACAAATGCAGCGTGTTTAAACGTTTTAATGGTACCAAACCTTCACCCTTTTTCTGAAACAATAGTGTAACATCACAACATAGAAAGACACAACATAAAATATCAACTGAAATAGCTTAACTCAATCAAAGGACATATTAACACCATTGAACATACACTGAACAAATAAATTTGACCTATGACACAATGTAAATACAAAATAAATAAACTAAGGGAAGAATAATAAAAGTAACATGTTATATCGGTAAGAAATGTTAATCAATTAAAGAAAAACAATATGCTCGAACAAAAAAATCAGCCATTTGCAATAACTTTAAATACAGGTAAATGAAAATAATTTTGTTGTTAGGTATACCTGTACAGTACCAATAGAGAAAGGAAATATTTTTACAAAATAAATAATTTTGATGTTCATAGTACGAAGTGAAAATTTATAGTTATACCAAACACTTATCAAAGCTGGTATATAGACCAGATATAACCCTGAATAACATTAAATAACAAAAAAGCAATACAATTAGTATCAACAAGTCAAATAAACAAGAAAGTACGATTTGAGAGTACTTGCAGTTACTGACAGATAGTTAAAAGCCAAAACAATTAATAATAAAAAATCATGCATCAGAGACTAAAATCAACTAAAACACATCCCAGGGATTTAGTATTTTAACGTCATGGACAGTCAAAGAAGACATGACTAGTGCAATGCCAAAAATAAATGTATCGACAGACAGTAGGATAGTTAGGAGTTTAACCTCTTTATAGATCTAAACGAACGTGGGTGTGTCTTAATACATCCCACTTGAAAAAAATACAAATTTAGTTATGTTTTAATTTGCTGATGACAAAATCGATATTAGTGCCAATGTAACCTATATTCAAAGATCTAATTACAACATTGGTAAGATATCTTTTACTAATAAGTTTGTTTAAAGGTTCGATGAGTTTACACGGATCACATAGTGCTTTCCGCGCTTTAAGTACAATATTATCGTAAAATTTAGGATGTGAAATACCGTTTTTAATCAGTTTTCTACAAGTACAGCCGAATTTACTTATCAAATCTTTGTATCTATGAAAGAACTTAGCAAAAGTTTTACGTAATTTATGGTAACGAAATCCTTGATTTAATAATTTACCAGTGATGCATTGATTACGTTCGTTAAAATCTATGACATCACTACACACACGGGCATAACGAACGAGTTGGGATATATATATACACCGTATGATGGAGCCAAAGGAACATCGCCGTCTAAAAAAGGAAAATTAACAATAGGGAATGAAAAATCGTCTCTTTTGTCGTAAATTTTCGTATGGAGTTTTCCTTAAGAGATTGAAATGTCCAAATCCAGAAAAGGACAACTACTGCTGTTTATGTTAGATTTAGTTAAAGTAAGTTCTATTGGGTAAATTTTGGTAGTATATTTAGAGAACTCTGGATTATTTAACGAAAAAATATCATCTAGATAACGGAAGGTATTGTTGAATGTATCAACCAAATGTAACAATGACGTGTCTTTACTGAGTTTGGTCATAAACTGAGATTCATAGCAATACAGGAATAAATCTGCTATTAAAGGGGCGCAGTTAGTGCCCATAGGAATACCTACTACTTGTCGATACACTCTGTCGCCGAAACGTACATATATGTTGTCCAGGAGAAAATTTAAAGCTTCAATCATATCTTCACATTTCCAGAAAGTGTATCTAGCATACTTTCCTTTTTCGTTACAGAAAAAGGCTTTAAACGAGTTAAAGCAAATAAATTTGTAATGAGATTTTTCAAAAGACCATTTAATTAAATATGAAAACTTTTTCTTGATAAGATTGTGTGGAAGTGTAGTATAGAGAGTAGAAAAATCATAACTGTCAACAGAATTAAAAGGACCATCAAAAGCATGTATTTTATCTAAAACCTCTAAAGAATTTTTAACACTCCAAAAATAATTAATACCATTATTTTCATAAGCTTTATTACAAAAGTTATTAACAAGTTTTTTGATAGTAGTAAGGGAGGTAGTTAGAAGGAATTTAAATGGTTTTTTGTGCAATTTAGGTAACTAGTACATAGTAGGGACTTTCAAATGTTCGGAAGAGTCCTTAAGCTGGGTAGTGCCAGTGATATGCTTGTTTACAATTTGACTCTCTGTGGAGCGTATGGACCTGAATGTAGATGAATTTGTAATTTCGTTTTGGAGAACTTCCGTGTAGTATATGCGTCACACCACCACTACATTATTTGCTGCTTTGTCTGCCGGTACGAACACAAACCGCTTTGCGAGTACTTTTTTATTCTGGAAATGGGAATATCATGGACCCTATTACTAATTTCAGAATTGTTTTCAAAATGAGATATACGAATATTAACAGTATTCATAATTTTATGTCAAATAACTGTTTAGAGATTTTTTATCAGATTTTTCACGTTTACACCAATTTTTACAGTAGACAGACAGAGCAGAGCGTCTTTAATGATCTGACGACACTGTTTCCAATCTATTTTAGATGGAGGACGATATTTCGGTCCTTTCTTAAGAAAAGTTATGACCTCACGGTCTTCGACGATGTTGAGGTCTCCTGTAAGGACATGACCATAGGGAACATATCTAAAACTAGATGTTTCACAATCTCAAGTGGAAGGAACATTATTTTCTATATTGACGTCTGATGTAACTGACATATAATTAAAAATCAAACTTCTGCTGGGTTTTTTATAAGAATACGAAATAATAGGTGGTTCTATATTATCAAAATATGGAGGTATTTGGCTTTGGATGATAGAGTCATTGAATATACTAGACAAGTTAATAAATCAATACCTCTATTTATATATTTTAATTTAAGAAAATGCCGTTTATGATTTTCAGGTTTATCGATACTAGGAAATAGCCTATGATGACAAAAGGCTGTAATAATACGGGTGTATTCATACATTGGGCTAAAAAAAGAAACTGTATCACACTCCAGAAAAATAGCTTATAATTTACTTATTGGTATCTGACCCAGTTTGCATAATACTTGATGACTGCCATTATTTTTTATTATAGATAACAGATCAGCAAGTGTATAATTTATACGGTGTTTAATACGTTGATTACGGTTTTTGCGTTTGCCATGAGACCTTTTATTTCTAAGTCGTTTATCGACAATTTTAAAGACATCGATTGAAGTTTTAGTTATGTTCCCCTGTCCTAATATTTTGTCATTAAGACCGAGAGGATAAGCTGTTTGAAGTCTTTTTATCCGAAATAATTCGCGAACTTCACGTGATTTTTTAAATTGCTTGTGTGATTCTCCTGGTTGTTTCTGAACGGTTTCAAGTGGTTGGAATTTAATAAATTTTAGATTGTGATTATGCTTATCTAAATGTTGATATATCAAACTTTTGATTTTTTTAGGTCTACGAAAGCGGTAAAGGTGTTCTTGATTTCTTTTGTAATAAGCTCGTCCCGTCTGTCCCACATATTGAATACCACACTTAGGTTGGGTTCAAGTTACCACATATATAAGGTTTTGAGTTTTTCAGGTAATGTCACAGGAAAAGGAGAGCGAAAAAGCTCTCCCGTTCACTGTTGACCGTACAGTATTTTGTGAAGTTAATCTAAAACAGGTTAGTCACTTTTTGGCATTGCACGGGAAAATTTGTGGATATCCACGCGCATTTTTGTTAAACAATCTGGCTGTAGAGGCATTCCAAATACGTTTGTTTAAGCACGTGGATATCCTAGAAGTTGTGTTGTTAATAATTTTCTTTCCATTGCGTAAAGTCATGATAATTAAATAGGGGTATAGGAAAAATAAAAAAGACCGGAGGTTGAAACAATGAATAAGGATCACAATTACGGAATAGGAAATAATAGGCAAAGCAGTAAAAGAAATCTTACAAAAACTGTTATAAAAGGCCCGACGTAAAGACTTAAGTATTACAATACTGACATATAACAAACACAGGGCAAAAACAGAGATTGTAAGAAATCTTAGTAAAACCATAGCAGGGGGCAATAATAAAAATAGCAGGCGTGGATGAGTATTTATACATCCAAACACCATAATATATAATTGAAAATTAAGAACAAAGATATAAACATGTGAAAGCTCTCTCACAGGCAAACAACCCATAATTAAAAAATATAAGGGCATACACCACAAGCACGGGGACACATTCTACTGCATCCACACAGCACTAGCAACAAACCCTGCAGTAAATAGATATAAGAAGATGTGGTATGAGTGCCAATGAGACAACTCTCCATCCAAGTCAAAATTTATAAAAGACGGTCTTCAACACGGACCCTTGGCTCACACCGAACAGTAAGCTATAAAGGGCCCCAAAAAATTACTAGTGTTAAACCATTCAAACGGGAAAACCAACGGTCTAATCTATATAAAAAACGAGAAACACTTACGAACCACATCAACAAACGACAACTACTGAACATCAGATTCCTGACTTAGGACAGGTGCAAACAAATGCAGCGGGTTTAAACGTTTTAATGGTACCAAACCTTCACCCTTTTTCTGAAACAATAGTGTAACATCACAACATAGAAAGACACAACATAAAATATCAACTGAAATAGCTTAACTCAATCAAAGGACATATTAACACCATTGAACATACACTGAACAAATAAATTTGACCTATGACACAATGTAAATACAAAATAAATAAACTAAGGGAAGAATAATAAAAGTAACATGTTATATCGGTAAGAAATGTTAAACAATTAAAGAAAAACAATAAGCTCGAACAAAAATATCAGCCATTTGCAATAACTTTAAACACAGGTAAATGAAAATTATTTTGTTGTTAGGTATACCTGTACAGTACCAATAGAGAAAGGAAATATTTTTACAAAATAAATAATTTTGATGTTCATAGTACGAAGTGAAAATTTATAGTTATACCAAACACTTATCAAAGCTGGTATATAGACCAGATATAACCCTGAATAACATTAAATAACAAAAAAGCAATACAATTAGTATCAA